TATTGTTTCGAATATACAGACAAAAATAAATATGATGAAAACTGAGCTTTGAAATGATATCAACAGAAAAATGACAAAATATCTTATCAATATAATATGATAATATCTTGTGAAAACTTGTAATAAAAAACATGAAAGGAGCTATTTAACTACTTTTTAAAATTAAATTTTATATGAATTTTAAATTTAATAAGAATAGGATATTGCCATTTCATAGGTTAAACGTCGTTTTATTATTCAAAATTTGAAATATATCTGGAGAAAGTTAATTATTAATAATAAAATTCTGGTGCGTGCTTCACACAAATTTCACTTTCAACCCTAATTTTTGTAGAAACAAGTATTTCAGATGTATATATTTTTTAATTATGATAAATAACTAAGTGGCACGAAATTATTTTAGTCTGACTAGAGTTTCAGTTATAAAGAAGGTATATTTATTTATATTTCATTTTGGGTATTACTCATTATTTTACTTGTTTAATTTATGACAAATCACACATTTATATTTGTGGCACCTGTGCATAGTATGTTAAGTGCAAAAATCATGCTTATGGAAAAACGCAAATGAAAGTTTGGTATTTCCCCAGGTGTAAGGTCAATTTTCGAGTTTCAACCCATGATTCACAAAAATAAAAAATCATCTGTGTAAAAAACGCATAACTGAGCCCATTAGATACAAACAAAGAGATAAAATCAGCTGTCTAGTGATGGCACTTTTCATAGGTGCTACAGATATGTTACGTATACTATTATACACTATGGTATGTGTAATTTTCATAAATGCTAGTGCTGGTATTATTTAACTTTAATTTTATTATTTCGATATTATATAAAAATTAAAATTAGTATAAATATACTATTGGATTAAACAAATAAAATAATGAATAATTACCTCAAATGAAATATAAATAAATATAGCGCCCTTCTTTATAACTGAAACTCTAGTGAGACTAAAATAATTTCGTGCATTTAGTTATTTATCATAATTATAAAAATAAAACATCTGAAATACCTGTTTCTACAAAAAGTAGGGTTGAAAGTGAAAGTTGTGTGAAGCACGCACCACAATTTTATAATTAATAATTAATTTTCTCCAGACATATTTTAAATTTTGAATAATAAAACGACGTTTACCCTATCAAATGGCAATATCCCATTCTTACTAAATTCTAAATTCATATAAAATTGACCCTTATGAGGAAAATGCAGTCGAAACGTCCAATTAAATAGCGTATCAATAAAATGTTTTGTGATAATTGGCCTAATTTATATAACAACCTCAAGACACCAAATTTGGGATAAATGAACAGAAGAAATAGTTTTTTTGACAATGTTATCGCCTTGATTCAAGGGGATTTTAAATATTTATTTTTTTACCTTATCCCAGAAAAATTCTCCAAATTTAACCAGAACCTTAAGTATCATCCAAATCCTCTTGCACAATCCCTATCAATCACCACCCATCCCTGTAATCCTCCAAGAAGTTTGAAACGGCAGTGGCTACACTGCGACCTTTTGTAAATTGGGGTTCTTGCAATGGCCAGATTCTCCACTAAAGATATGAATGTATGTGGCTAAAGTGCGCTCGATCAATCTGGCTTTAGTACAAGTGATGCGGTTTAGAGAGTAGCGCAGGGTTCTCCTGAAGTCCAGCTTTTCCCTCCATAGTTGGAGGGACGAGACCGCCTCGGAATTCCCTAACCTGATTGTAAATAATGCATGTGTGTTTGCTTTGTTTTAATTTTCTTATTTTTAAGTTATTTTATTTCATTTATTGTATATAATTTCTGATTATTATTTTTTGTTATCTTGCTTCTATTTATTTTATATTTTTCTGTACGCTAAGTGTTAATGTTATTCTACATCACTATAACTAATGTCCAAGTGACAGATTGTTGTAATACTCAATAAATAAATAAAATAAAATAAAAAAAGACTATTTTATACATTTAATATGTATTTTCTGGTTTTTTAAACCACATTGATATATTATTAACTATTAAATTTAAAATTCTCCAGTTTTGTCTCGGTGGTGAATACGCAGTTTCTCGCCCACAGCTCCGGTTGAATAACAACGCTTTCAGCCAAACCTATTCAAAATCATATGAATGGTCTATTGACCCCATACTTCATACTAGCCCTAGGCTAAGGGTCGTTGAATTCAGGAAGAAAAATCTACCCAAGAGGGACGTTAAAGAGTACTACAATGGCAGCATCACGTGGAAACGTCCTTTTTACCGCTCAACAACCACGTCATATCACCTTTCTTATCCCAATATACCGACAATAGATTTTCCTCACGGAGAAAAAAAGAAATTTAAAAGGTTAGTTGAAAGAAAAAAATTTTAAATAATATTTTATATTATTTAAATTATATCCAAAAGATACAAAAACAGTCAGCGTTAAGTAATGACTTTTCAGAGAAAGAAGAAGAAGAAATAAATCCAGTTCTCATTTCTTTCATTCATACATATTTTACTATTCCCCTCCCAAGCAGACAGTTCTTAGATAGAACAAGAAATCTACTGTTCTCCGGAAAACCTCAGGGGATAAGGGAACTGCCACCCTTCTCATAAAATAGAAAAAATACTACCCATCCGGCCCACCGATCAACAATTTTTTTCTAACTCAGGATGAACTAATTTCCTATATAAAAATGTACTCCTTCTTCATAAACATAGAATATAAGTCAATTTAGGGTATATATAAAGAAAGATCAAAAATCCAAACACTTAGAAATTCAGGAATAAAATAATTACTAAATTAGAATATATATCCATTTTTTAATCCAAAGGACATATATATATATATATATATATATACATATTTATTTATTTGCTGTTTTTTAACGTCACATCGACTGCCAGAGTCATTAGCGACGATCTTTCTTCCTTGATATAATAATAATAATAATAATAATAAAACGCTTAGCGGACCCGAAGGTTCGATGCCGACACCACCAATCTCTTATTACACACCTCCCTCCACCGTTCGCCATCCAAACCCAGTCCCTTCAGATGGGCTTTAATACAATCATCCCACCTTCGCTTCGGTCAACCCCTCGGACGCTTACCATTCGGCACAACAAATATTAATCTTTTAGGAATTCTCTCGTTACTAAGGCTAACAACTTTACAAGCCCATTTGATTCGCCGCGACGAAATTACCTCAATTATATTACCCGGATACAGCTCACGCGATTCGGCGTTGTGTAACCGTCTGAACTCTCCGGTTAACTCATCCTCCTTCGGTCCGAATATTCTACGCAATACTTTATTTTCAAAAACCTTAAGACGCTGCTCATCCCTCAATGTAAGCGGCCAAGTTTCGCATCCATAAAGAACTGTAGGCAAGATAATTGTTTTATAGATTCTAATTTTTAAGTTCCGGGACAAGATGCGCGAACTGAGTAGTTTTGTCATAGGAAAATAACAAGCATTTCCCGCCTTCAGTCTAACCTTAATCTCTTCTTCAATTTCGTTTTTTCTAGTTATCGTAGAACCTAGATACCTAAATTTATCTACCTGTTCAAACATATTACCATCTACATCGATATCACCAGTAGTCTCGCCATTTTTGCAGCTAACCATATATTTTGTTTTATCCACGTTTATTTCAAGTCCTAGTTTTTTACTGGCTTTCATTAACGTTGTCGTATTTAGTTTTATAGTTTCAACGTCTTCGCTTAACAGTACCAGATCATCAGCATAGCCTTGATATAACTTATTAATTTTATTTGTCGAATGTACATAAGCGTTTTTAAATACCACTGTTTTTTTTTGTACGGTGCTTTGTCATCAATATGGGGTTAAATTTACTGTTTACGGAATTTTTTTTACCGCAATATGTGTTCTACGGTAAGATTAGCATTTTCACATGCCTCACATGTTGGTCAATGTAGGCCAAGAAGTGGATGGAGTTGGGTCAGTTTGATATGTCCAATTCTGAGTCTGCTTATAGACCATTCTTTCAAGTGTCACATTATGTCAGGTCTTTTGAAAAATAACAAGCTCGATTTTCGTATTTTTTCAGATGAAGGTTATTGAGTGGCAGTAATCTCCACTTTGTATTCAAATTGTCGTTCACTTTCTTTGTAATTTCTCTTGTCCACTAGTTGAGAAAAATTGATCCTAAAACAGGTGAATCTGTGCTTTTGGCGGCTTTCTTTGCTCTCTCATCGACTCGTTTATTGCCAATTATGCCAGTGTGTGAGGTACCCAAAATAATATATTTTCTTGACTATTTTCAATCAGTATCAAGTTCATAGGTTGATTTTTTTTTATGCAATGTGTTACATGCCCATGTACTTTGCAGTTCCTTGATTACAGATAAGGAATCGGTCTCAATGACAGATTTTTCAATATTTGTGTTGATTAAATATTCAAATGCGCATATGAAAATAGAATTATGATTATTTGATTTCCATTTGTTAATATTGTTTTGGGTTACGATACACGTTTCTCTGATTTTGAACTGTCCGTGAAAATTATTTCATGATCAAAAAATATTTTAACGACAATTTGATAATACCTATATCTAATTTCTTCTTACATTTATTTTTATTGTTATTAGTTTCTGTATTATTTATTTTTATTTATTGTAAATAGAGTGTGAATGTGTTCTCTGAACTCTATTATAAATTTCCTTAATTGAGACAAATTGTAATATTTCTGAATAAATATTTTAAAAAGTTTCTTCTGGGGTAGTTTTGTTCGAAACATTGTTTAATCCTACTTCATTTTTGATTGTTGGAATTGCCCATGGTGGGGTCTCCTATTTTCTGGGATATAATATCTATACGCGTTGTAATTTCACACTCATAACATATATTTTATAAAATCAAATACAAATAAATATCTTACTGAAGAAAATCCCTAATACTAAAGATTAAAAAATTTAAATTATCATACCTAATTTGAAAACACTTCATTAAACGGCGGAGGAAAATACAGGCTTCCAAGAAAATAACAAACGTACATTGCGTAATTAATGCGTTAATGCTAGCGAAGCGTGGTTTGTTATCGGATTAAAGCCATAAATAATTACGAGAATTTCATTATCTTGCAGGTCGTAATCATAAAGGGAAATGGAATATCGATTATATAATTCGTGTAAAGTTCAACTAACAGATGTTTTTTCGTTACCTTGACCATTTCCATTATTATACCTAATGAAGAAAAGGAGTACAATACACTGTAGCCCTGATGAAGGCCTGAACTTCAGATCGAAACGTCGGCAAATGTTAAAATAAATATTATCATTTATTTTGCCTTCTTATTTCTGACTGATCACCTCAACCATCCTTCTCTTCATTATTCATCACAGTCAACCATTAACCCACAATTATTATACTTAATGTATGATATTCGCATGGTCCTCAGCTGGCCTATGTAGCAAAAAATTTTATGACGCTATAAAAAAAAAATCCAATCGCCGTGATTTATTCTTGATGGGTCTCTCACTAAACCAAGCCAGTTGTATTACAATATTATATACTATGAGTATTTTCAAGATTTATTCTTAAAACATCGACTTTTGATCCGCACCCTCCCTCTTCTTAACTAGATTGATTAAGATGAAAAAATATATACGAATAAATAAAATCGTATCAAATAATGATAAAAAATAACTTAAGAAATAATATTAATCGTTGAATTGAGGCTTCATATTACAGGATAAAAATCAAATTCAATAAAAAGACTTTGTCTTCCTGTATATAATTGTATTATACTTTTTTACTACCGGTTTTGGTTCTTCATTAGACCTTCATCAAGCTTATTTATGACTATTTGATGAAGGAACGAAACATGTACCAAAACCGAATAATAAGGAAGTCTTTTTAATAAAAAAAATATTAATACATATATATCAAGCAGAATTTAACTAGAAGATAAATTCAAGTTTAACTAGAAGATATTCAAAAACCACGATCAAAAAATTAATCACAGTGGAAAGGAAATAATTGAGGAAGTATAGGTAATAAAAGAATACCTATAGGTTTAGACGTGTTTTATGTAAGTTTTTTTTTAATACATCAGCATTTATATAAATTAATAACAAATATATATATATATATATATATATATATATATATATATATATATTTATTTATTTATTTATTTATTCTCTTAAGATTTTATATAAATTGTCAGTGGTCATGATATAGTATCGTTATGTTTTTGCAGGGCAAGAGCCTCTCGGGTCCACTTCAGGGTGGTGATATCGGTCATCTGGATAGCTGGTGGTGTCATGGCAGCTCCCTTCGCATACGGGTTACGGGTCACCAAGGCACCTGTACCCTACTTCCCTCTCAACAGCTGTGAGTTATTGTTTTATTATACGATATTATATATTGTACAAGTATCATTATTGCCTTGTTACAAGAAAAACAGGATGTTTATGGGGAATAGATAGCAGTTATAATTTTTTTTTTAATCATACTTTTAATGGCTTATATCGTGTCACTTGTTTTATGAATTGTATTCACAAAGCAAATGGGGTGTTTATTGAAAATATGGAGAAAAAAAAATCAAGGCACTTTGATATCAGCATATAGTCAGTCCTACTCTAAGGCAGTGAAACCAGAGAGATGGAAATATTCGCTGCTTTTGAAGAATCCTGGAGAACTTGTGGCCTGAGAGATTATCTAACGAACAGCATTGGAGAACCAAAAGAGAACTTCCTTTCCATCTTGAAATAAGGAATTCTACAGGACACACCATTAGAAAACCACAACAGAACGATCTATAATGGAAGTAAAATGGAGAGGAAAACAAGGAGATATGTGGGGCAAAACTGGATAAAAAGGATCTGTATTGTATTGGTTGGTCAAAGGATTAAACGTTGCTGGAAGTAAGATGAATTGGAGCTGGAAGAGCGCTGAAGCCGTGGTAGCCGAGCGTCATCAGCTTTATTAATTTGGTGTCGGTTCGAATCCGGCCTAGACCGGCTGAAATTTAATTGGAAGCTTAGAATAAGCTTGGTTATACCTCTAAAATAGGGAGATATTCTAGAGTTACAACCCTAACCTCTCTCTCGGTGTGCTAGAAATGGCCAGGTAAGTGGTAAACCAAAAGAAAAAGATAAATAAGCTGATAGGAGCGCATTTTTAGAAGCCTTATGTTCCACCAGAAATAAAGGAAATTATGACATGAAATCCTCTTAGAACAATAAATGAAAACTACCAAATGGAAGGATTTCAAACTAACCTCATATTCTACAAAATTGATTATATTATCTAATTTGTTTATTTAAATAGTTTTTAAGAATAAGTTAATTATTAAAATTTAATTATTATAATCCAAATAAAAAATAAATTAATTTATTATCATCATTATCCCGATTTCCAATATTATCACAATAATATTATTTATTTACGAATGTATATTGTAATATTTCATAATGTAGATATAAGAGACCTCATGAAATATATTTGATAATATTAATAATCATATCTATTTCTCTTTTCTGTTTACAATTAAAACATTAGTATCATCGATTCGATGGGAAATAATATTTTAAAAAAATAATAACAACTTGGAAATTTGATATTGATATTTGATGAAACCTAATCAGTAAATAAACTGTGTATTCCAATAATTTTAAACACCTACAAGGTAAAGTAATGATTAAATATTTAAGTACTTAAGAATAATTAAAACTTTATGAACTTTCTCCCTAATATTAGATTTTGGAACGAACGAAGTATACGAACGAACTTAAACCCATAACTAAGTTTCTGGAAAGGATAAATATTCAATGGACCGAAAAACAGGATAAATGAGCTATGAATAGATCTTGACATGTAATTATATTATTAGCACTATACAATTATAATGTGTGCTGAATAATAGGTAATATCGTTTAAGAGATAGATGAAACAAGTTGAATTTCTTGTAGGCAATTCTCCCCAGGACTTCACGACTAAGGTCTAAAACGAGGTTTGAAGTTTCTTATTATGAATAACTACTTAAAAGCACCAACAATACATTCTAAAACAATAGCTGTGAGGAACGGTATATAACTTACTAATATCATTGTGAATGCTTAATTTGAAACTAATACCCCACTTATCCCTGTTGAACAAATCCACTACTTTGGACTCCACTTAGACAAACGTCTAACTTGGAATCCTTTTACTCCAGCACTTACTAGACAAACGCTCTAAGCGTCCATTTAATAACAAAAGTCTCATATACATGACTACAATAAGACCTATTTGGACTTACGGAGTTGAGCTATGGGACTCCACTAAGCCATCGATCTCCTCTCGTATCCAATCCTAACAATCCAAAATCCTCACTGCTGCTTTACTTTGTCACAAATAAAATCATCCATAACGACCTTAATGTTCCTTATGTTTCTGACATGACCCAATCCAGATACATATCCTCCCATAACAAACTTCAGAACCATCCAAACCCTCTCGTTTCTAACCTTGCTTCCTCTTCGTTCTCTGATGACCCTCCGAGGCGTCTGAAAAGAAGATGGTCTCGAGATCTCCTTTGGTAAATACATTTTTAGAGTGCTAGGAGTGGGTAGTTTCTCAACACGTGGTTTCATGTAATTATACTCTTATGTTCACATTTACTGAATGTATTTTTATTTGTAATACAGTTGTTAATATCATAAAAAAAATTGAAGTTGAAGGAATTGAAAAACAAACAGTTCCTTATCATTTTTCTTCTTTCAGTCATAAAGTACAACAACGCCATCAACAAAAATTTTCAAAAAGTTTTTTCAAATTTTCAAAATGTTTTTTCAAATTTTTAAAAACATTTTTCAAATTGTATGCAACCCACTCGTCATGAAATACAAAGTCAATTAACGGACGTTATAAATTAAATATAAAATATGAACATTAGGAATTATTATTTATTATCATTCGATGATTCATATTAAACAGCAATATCTAAATAAAAGTGAATAATAACTATTCACTTTTATGTAAACCAAATCTATTTTGTTTTACATAACAATGATTACAAAGTGAAACAAATGTTTTTTTTATTAGAGAGACTACTATCTCAAAAAATATTTTAACACAAGTGGGATGAAAAGCCCATGGTTCAGAGATCTTGAGTGAATGAATTTAGTAAATATTGTATAATAGTATGGATGAATTTAAGTAGTTATTTTGATTTGTTTAGTTTAGTTTCTTTTGGTCTATATATATTTACTTTTAGTATTAATTATTATTTTGCTCTTTATCTATGTTTATTTATTGTTCATAGAATGAGAATGAGCTACTCTTCTATCTCTATTACAATTTTCCTTAGATGAGACAGATCTTAATGTTTCTTAATAAAGAATTGAAAACATATTATGAAACGAAAAATTACTATAGAAAAACTATAATTTATACTTTTCGGGCACTAACTGGATAAATCATATTTATTTTCAAATACACAAGTTTCTCTCTTTTATTTTAATTATCAAGGTTTTTTTTAACCAATAGTTTTTCGAGAACTATTTTTTTTTATTGAGAACAAAAAATACATTTTGCCTCAATTAAGAGCATTGAGTATTTTGGATGTATGAAACAAAATCATACCATATATACAATAAAAGAAAAACACGATTTTAACAAAAGAAAAGAAAACTTGGAATAACAGAATAAATCAAACATGAGAGAACATTAAATAAAAAAAATACATTCATACTTATTTAAAATACTCAGTCTGCAAAGGGAGCTCCGAGTCGGACCCTTTTTCCCACGTGTGAGGGATAAGGCAAGACTCCAAGAGATCCCAGCGCTTCTCTCTCAGTCGCATCACTAGGACGGGAAGCCAGTCGAGATTGAGAGAGGGCTCTAAAGCCACATACACTCAGGGCTTTTTTTTTAATCTCAAACAACACTAAATACTTATTTTGATTTAATTATTTTGCTGGGTTAAGAAAAAGCCTTAATATTAGGAAAGTTGTTGAAGAAGAGACCAATGCTAGGTCCACTAAGGAGCTCTATGAGTACCAGCATTTTTCAGTTGGAAGATAAAACCGTTTTTTTCCACGGGTGTTTCAGTCGGACTTTTTTTCTCGTCTTGTTAAAACTTTCCTAAGCTATCATCGGGCCCCAGTCAGCCCTCTGGGTGACATTAACATAACTGCCTAGGGGACCAACGATGTCTAGAATATTTCCAATTCCATCCTAAGGATAAACGGAGGTAACATGTTATTCGTTATTACTTGGATAGCAATGAAAGATCGAAATTTCATTATATATTTAACCAATCATTATTGGACCAAATCTTTATTTAACGATTAACACTTTAGATGCGGTTACGGTCCCCGGCGTCTATCAGATATAATGATTATTTACGTTTATATCTATCTTTACATCTATCCAACTCCCATTCAAATATTTTTAAAAATGACCATTTTAGAGACTTTGTAAAATAGGTAAAATTCAAAACAATTCCGGCCGAAATCGAGACGAATATTGAAACTCGCGGACCGTAACCGCAAATAACTTGTTATTAAGGAAATAAATTAAAACGTGTAACTTAAACTGTAACATAATGAATAATTAGAAAACCGGATGGCTAGAAAGGTTCTGTTTCACGTTTGAATTATTATCTTATTGGGATGAACATACCATAATTGTTTTCCGAAATTATGTCAACATTTTCCCCAACCACCGAAAACTCATATTATTCTTACTAACGACTTCAATGGACTAGGTTGTTCGGGAGCTAACAATTTTTGCCTTGCCATACAAGCTTCAGAATGATTGACAAATAGATTTGGAAGATATCATCATTTAGTCGAAAGAAACGTTTTATCATTTGAACATTTGTTCAAAAATATAAGGATGCTCCAGGAATTAGATTGATGTTGACATACTAAGATTGATAATTAATTATTAATTGATAACCATTTTCAATCCTACCACGGATCCCTAAATTCAAGACAAAATTATGGTGTTTTTCTATCTGTAAAGGTGCGTTTAGACATTCCAATGACTATGCTAAATACAATTATGTAACTTAACTGACAGCGACTGAGAGGAAGTTATCCTGACGCGGCTAAGAATAGGTTACACACTTTTACCAGGCTTACACACCTTCAGTTAATTACAAAAGAAAATCCGCCCATTTGCCGGAAGTGTGGAGAGAGAATGACAGTGGTCCATATCTTCGAGAGTTGTGCATTTTAAATCAGAGAATTAAACAGGAAATACAGCGGCTGCTTTGGAAAATGGTGAAAAAATTTTGAGTCATATGTTTTCTCTACGAAAAAGGAATCTTTAAAAATCTCTAAACCTCTCACCAAGCACTCCTCACCTATTTTTCCTTTTACCTTTTTTTTAATATATTTTTCCTATTTATTTTTTTTTCATTTATTTATTTTTTTACTTAACGTGCTTACTATGAACCTCGCTTTAAATAACTAAACTTTAATAATCGTAAACAATTTTAGCTAAAGTGCATTTTACCTCTTTTTAATTTTATTATTCACAACTAGAAGACATAATAATATATAATTGTAATTAAAGGCGTTGATGACCAACAGGTGGTTGTTGTATAATAAAGGCGTAAAACATAATACAACAACAAACCAACAGCGAGAGCGCTAAGCCAAACTGGGAGCTGATGAAAAACATTAAAAACAAGAAACAAAACTACTGGCATAGGGAAACCATTTTCCCCATAATTTGTGAAATCTCTAAACGAACCTTAAGGTGTAAATAATAATAAAATT